AGGTCAGCTGTTGTAGTTCATCCTTGAAATCTTGTGTTCAGCCACACAGTTGCTATATCAGTTAGCAAATTAAACGCTGTTGAAAGGTAAGCCTTTTGCCTAAAGAACAACTTTCACCTAAGTTTTAAGACTGTAGCGTTGTACATTATACATTAGTAGTTAATTGTAACAAAGACTTCTATAATCTTTAGGTTAACAAGGGGCCAACTACCAAATATTGTGATAGTTCTGTCATTGATGGCAACACAGGCATCCACATTCTTTCAGCTAAAAAGTCAAGAAAAATTTAAGGGTTGTTATAGATCCTTCTAACATCAGTAAGTCAGACATAGCTGTTTTTACCTAATAATAATGTGGGCATGAGATTGTTCCAGTGACCCAAAAAGTCATAACTGTGAGTCTTTCTGAATTACGCATGGTCAAGTTGACATAACCATTGCATGAGATGATGTTTACATATGTTTATATTTTTTTCCATCCTCTGTCATAGGGTTATGCAACTGCTGAGGCATATAGGCTTGAGGAAGGCATTCTTAGATGATTTGTTACTCAGTAATACAGTTCTGCTGGGGCATCGTGGGACTTTATTTATTCTCTCATCACAGAGATCCAGAGCCAAATTCATGTCTGTGTACTAGTGCACAGTACATTTCTTAACTGACTTTTTAAGAAAATCTAGCCAAAGTTGCATCTGATTTGCATCCTATTTTCCACCCTGGTATTAGTCTTAATGCTTTAATTTAGTAGTAGTAATTGTAGTAGTAGCAGCAGCAGCACCTATCATCAATGCTATTAAAAGTTTCAATTCACGTAGGCTTTCTTTTATAGCCTATGGGCCCTCAGTTCAGTACAATGATTCGGTTTTATGGCCGTCCACCACAATTTACTGCTGGGTTAATTGGGATTCATGGAGGTTAAGTGACTTGTCCAAGCATATACAATCAATTGGACCGGGGACTTAAGCCAGATATTCTAGTTCCAATCCTAGCAAGGGAGGACTCATTGTTATTCCTTCATTCATATAGTCATTCATTCACATGTTCACCACAGAAAATATTTAGTAAGCACCTGTGATCTACCAGGTAGTGTTCTACCTGTTGGAGGTATCAGTAAACAAAACTGAAAGGAATCCCTGCCCGTGTAGCTTACATTTTAGTAAGGCAGAGGGGAAACCATGGTAGATAACAAAAAAGTAAATTCTGTAGTGTATTAGGAGGTGATAATGTATAATTAGAAAAAATAGAGGTGCCTGGGTGGCTCAGTCGGTTAAGTGTCTGGCTCTTGAATTTGGGTGCAGGTCATGATCCTAGGGTCATGGGATTGACCCCTGCCTCAGGCTAAGCGTGGAGCCTGCTTGAGATTCATTCTCTTTCTCTCTTTCTCTGACACCCCTACCCTCCCACTCATGCACACTCTCTCTCTCTCTCTCTCTCTCTAAAAAAAAAAAAAAAAAAAAACAAGTAGGGGGGATTAGGAGTACCAATTTTTATACCTTTTGGGAAGTAGGAACACTTTAGTTTTTTAATTTTATCTGATAAATTATTAAATTATGTCAAAATGACAGGTTTTGTTGTAAACCTTTCAGAGTATGTTGTTTAGAACAATGTTCTGCTCCTTGCCTCCCTCCCCAAGAAGCAGTGCTGTAAAGGACAGCTAAGTTATAAGATCAATTTATAGAATATACTTAATTCATTATGAATTTTAGCTGTAGTTAAAATCTAATGGTACTGTAGGCCTAATCAGTCCCTACAGTGTTTTGTTTTGTTTTGTTCTTCCTTCCTCTGGTAAAATGCATTCCAGGCTCCAGGAGGGAGTATTAGGAGCCTCATAGTTTCATGTTACTCTTCAAGCTTTGTGCATAAGCAACTCTCCTTCCTTCCACATTCTGGAGTGTTGTTCAGCAGGAGCTTCCCTCATTCAAACTATTGATGGTGGCTCCTCCACAGCCAGAGGCTGCGGCATTGTTTAGGGGAGATTAGGAATTTAATGGAGGAAGGTATCAGTAGCATTCTCTTTTTACAGGAGGTGGGAAGTTGGCAATTGGAATGAATTGCAGGGAGTTCTCACTTGGGATCCGTGGCAGAAGGAAGGGAGTCCCTGGCTTCACAGGGGGCCCAGTGAGTTATTGGGATGTATGCGAGTCAAGGGTGGACTTTGTCTCCTGTTTGTGTAGGTTTGTGTAGATTAATTCCTGAGATGGATTTACTGATACATTCTCACCCTAATTTTCATAAAACCCAGAATCATGACCAACTCCAAGTTTGGGATTTAAGCAACTGGAAGTTTAGAATTTAGACTTTTTAAAAGATTTGATGAATGTAACTTTTATGTGTTAGTTTAACAGTGTCCCAACAAAGAAATCTGAAAATTAAAAGAAAATTGATGTAGTCTTGATCTTTTCCTTTTTACTACCTTATTTTTATAAGGTTTATTATTGTGATTTTCTTCATAAATATTGTACTGGAAATATTGTTCCATAACTTCAAAATTTACCATTTTTAATAGCCATGTAATACCCTATTGACAAATAGGTATTTGAATGTTCACCTGTACTTTATCAGGAAGTAAGGCTTGCCAAAGGAAATGGATTATGCTTTCAATTAGCTTGCTCTCTCTTTGGTAAAACAGTACATATATACAATATACATATTGTATATATACATGAATCATAATAAAATAAGGTAAAGTCTGTCAAAAGGTGTTTATAATTTGGAAAAAGAAGGGATTTGTGGGCTAATGTGATAGAAAGCTTTATGGAAAAAGTAGAAGGCTTTGTGGAGAAAGAGATTTAGAATTTAATTAGTTCTTACTAGTTCCACTTCTTCTATCTTATCCAGACTGTCATCATGCTTCTCATCTTCCTCCTTCTGTGTTACCCCCTTACAATCTCTTCTCTCTAGAGCTGCCAGAGTAAAAAGTAATTCAGGTTAATGATTCCCCTGCCCAGAACCCTCCAGTGTTTTCTGAGGTCACTCATAATAAAACTCAAAATTCTTAATGGTAGCCTACAGGGTTCTGCCTGGTGTGGCTCTTACCTTCCACTCTAACCTCCTTTCCTGTTTGAATGCTCTTATACACTCTTGTGTCTTCACACTGGCCTCACTGCTTTTCCTCACACACTCCAAACATACTCTCGTGTCACAATCTCTGTCATTGCTCTTTCCTCCACCTTGGAAATTTGTCTCTCAGATAACTTCCCTGGCTTACTCTCATTTCCTTCAGATCTCTGCTCAAATTTCATCTCCTTAGAGACTTTTCCCAAAAAACCAGAAATGTTTTTCTGAGCACATCCCATCGCTCCCCTGCTCCTTTCTTTTTTCTCCATAGCATTTTTCCACCTGCCATATGTTTGTACCTCTTTGCTTATTATCTGCTGGAAAGTAAGCTCCATGACATCAGGCAAAGATTTTGTTTTTATTTCCTACTGTATGTCCTCTTCTAAAATAGTTCCTGGTAGGGGCGCCTGGGTGGCGCAGTCGGTTGAGCGTCCGACTTCAGCCAGGTCATGATCTCGCAGTCCGTGAGTTCGAGCCCCGCGTCAGGCTCTGGGCTGATGGCTCAGAGCCTGGAGACTGTTTCCGATTCTGTGTCTCCCTCTCTCTCTGACCCTCCCCCGTTCATGCTCTGTCTCTCTCTGTCCCAAAAATAAAATAAACGTTGAAAAAAAAATTAAAAAAAAAATAAAATAGTTCCTGGAATACAGGCAAGGCTTAATAAATATTTGTTGGATAAGTGAAAGAAAGAATTAATATTTGATCATAAACCTTTTTTCTTTTCATAGACCTGATTATATAGAGTTGAAAGAAGGTCTAGTGATGAGAAACAGCAGCAGTATTTTCAGTGAACATCTAGGATTGAACTTGGTGTATTAAAGCTCCCCTTCTGCCTCCTTTTCTCTCCCATGCCCACCCACTGCCGTCAGGGCCAAACCCAAGCTCCTTAGTCTGGCGTTCAAGGCCTTTTCGGATCTCATCTCTGTTGACCTTTCCAGCTTTAATTCTATGCCAAGCCTGTGCTGTGTCCTAAGGAATGACTTATAATTTCCCTAATGTTGCCCTTGCAGATGTCTCTTACAGCACCTCTCACATTTTGCCATTTACAATTTTTTAATGGGTGTCTCCTCGTAGCACATCAGCTCTTCAGAGTGAGGGACCTGGCATATTTTCATATTTCCAGGACTTGGCACAGTTCCTGGCATATCATAGATGGTCAGAAATACTTACTGGGTGCCAAAGATGGTTTTGCCTCTAAGAGAAACCATTGGGAACTTGAAGAGGTTGGACATGGAACAAATAAATTGATGAAAGCAGTTTCTTCTCATTAGAGGGTTTGGATGTGGATGTGTCTGGGGACAAATGTGGTTGAAGAGAGCACAGTATTAGAGAACCGTGATTTGTAGCACAGTTTTAGAAGACTGTAGTTTGGTTGAGGAGGGCTGGCATATAACATGATTGAATCGGTACACTTAGCTAGGAAGAACAGCTTATGTGTGAGGAAGGGTTATTTGATGTGTGTTGTTTGGAAAGAAGTGCAGCCATCTGGCAGTGGTCTGACTGTAGGCCAATCGGACCTGTTTTCAGTCCGTGAGAATCCTGTTAGATGGTAACCCTGCTCATCCCAGGGACATAATACAAGGGGGCAATTCAGGGCAGCAGTGGCACATTCATATCTTTGCTCATGCTGTCTTCATCCTGTAGTAACTGTGAGTGTTGAGTGTTAGGTTAGACTTAACCTGACTGCTCTTGGTTTGCTGGGAAAGAATACTACAAAAAATCTGAGAGAGGGAAATGGCTGTATTTGTTTTATATATTTGTCATCCTTAGTTGATGGTTTGTATTTTAGGTGCCAATGCATTAGATCTATAATCATTTGGCCCAGCGTAGTTGGATATGTGTACATGTTCTATATAATTTTAATAGTACATAATTTGAAAAATGTAAACATAATGGAGTCAAGTTGGCTATTGGTTTTAAAAGATTAAAAACTTCTTTCTAAATCAGGTTTGTTACAGAAAGAGAAAATGGCTATTGAAGCATTTCAGATTTGCTGCCTCCTCCTGCCACCTGAAAATAGGAGAAAGTTACAGCTGTTGATGAGGATGATGGCAAGAATCTGCCTAAATAAGGAGATGCCACCCCTGTGTGATGGCCTTGGTACCCGAACACTGGTAGGTTGATCTCTACCATCTAACTTGACTTCAGTTTTGGCAATAAAATCCACCTGAGTAGAGTTTACTAGCTTGGCAGCCAGAGGAAGGTGCAAGGCAGGCTTGCTTGTAGAGCCATCGCTTGGAAACCACCCCAACACTGAACACTTTGGGTGTTAGTGTCTTAAATAACATAATGCAAAGTGGAGAGTGAGTAGGGATAGGCTCTGAGTTTAAAGGGGTCTTCTGCCTAGGGCCTACTGTCAACATAAAGAGAAGGAAGGGTGGACAGTGAGGATAAGTGGTCTCTCAAGAAAACAGTATTCTTTCCTCCACGACAAAAAGGGTTGTGAAGCATTTGTCACTATAACAAGTGGACGCAGCCTGTATAATGAGGTAAAGAGGAAAGAAGTAAAATACAGAGTTGGATCAGATAGCCTGGCAGGGAGATTGAGAACTTGTTCACTCAGGTTATGATCTTAGGGTCCGTAAAATATTCTCAGTTTTGCTTACCAATGTAAGCTAATTTTATTTTATTATTTTTTGAAGTTTTTGTTTATTTATTTTATTATTATTTTTTTTAATGTTTATTTATTTTTGAGAGAGACAGAGACAGGATGTGAGTGAGCTAGGGGCAGAGAGAGAGGGAGACACAGAATCCGAAGCAGGCTCCAGGCTCTGAGCTGTCAGCACAGAGCCCGATGCGGGGCTCAAACTTACGAGCTGTGAGATCATGACTTGAGCCAAAGTTGAACGCCCAACCAACCGACTGAGCCACCCAGGCGCCCCTATCTATCTATGTATCTATCTATCTATCTATCTATCTATCTATTTATCTATCTATATATCTATCTATCTATTTATTTTTGAAGGAGAGAAAGAGTAAGCAGGGGAGGAGCAGAGAGGGAAGGAGGGAAAGAGAATCCTAAGCAGGCTGTGCTCTGTCAGCACAGAACCTGATGTGGGGCTCAAACTCACGAACCGTGAAATCGTGACCTGAGCCAAAGTCAGACGCTTAACTCATTGAGCCACCCATGTGTGCCACATATGCTAATTTTAAATTCTACTTTGCTAATGTTAGTATGTCTTTTAAAATAGGGTTTATGTTTAGAATTTCTTATTACAAAAATTTTTAATTTTCCTCAAAATTGGAGGCCTTAGAGCAAATTTGATGCTTCTTTGAGGTGTATGTCCTTTTCACGTCCAGGTGAACCATGGTGTACCTCTGGGGGTCCTCTGGTCCACTTTTAGAAGTGTGGGGTGGGGTAAGATCAGAGGAGCACTCAGTGCCCAGTAGAGGGATTCTTGACCTTGGTTTTGGTTGGGTAGATAGGTAATGGGGCTAATGGGCCTTTGTGAAAGGCTGAAGAAAACTTTGCACTGTTCCCCAGGAGGATACACATGTAAAATTTTGCATACAATTTCAAGGCATTCAGATTCCCTAAGGTCCATAGTCTCCAGGTAAAAAATGTCTGTCTGCGTGTCTCTCTGTACACATACATGTGAATGAAAAGTAAAGGATCCTCTGCAGTAAGTTGATGAAATGAAGTCTAATTAAGCAGAATTACATGATTTCATGCTTGTACGTTTCAAAATAAGATTGTCAGCAGTAAAATTAGTAGGAAAAGGAAAAAGTATCTATCCAAAGGATAGTATTAAAGAAGGAAATAGTTAATATGCCTTCTATGAAAGCAGCTACATAATATTTTTTATATTTCTGCTTTTTGTAAAGTCTCATCATTTAATGAACTTTTTACAAAGTCTAATGATTTTGTTCAAATGTGATTATCAAATGTACACCCAAAATCCTAGAGAAAATTACAGTTAACTGGGAAAAAAACATAACTGTTGAGGCATTTATGTTGTGCTAGCAGATTTTTAAAAAAATCAATAGTGAAATAAGGATATTAGTAAACTAAATGGCTTTAAAGTACTTTGAACTTTGAAATGCAACATGATTCAAGTAATGGTAGTGATAATAATTTTCAGAATTCGTTTATATATGTTTAAAACTGTCTGTAAAGGGGTGTGCTTTAAAAACTGCTCAGACAAGCATGTGTGCTGAGTCTCTGTGAGATGAGACGCACCTTCTGTTTTGCTGGTTGATAAAAATCAGCCCATCTCAGATGACCAGGTATGGCCAGGTGCCAGATTAGATGTGTACCCTGTCCTGTGGGCCATTTCTCCCTGACTAGTCACATTTGTTTTTTGCAAATTAGATTGAACTCAGTAGGGAAAGAAGACTTCATCTGTGTTTCATTAAAAAATACCTCCCCTTCTTGTTTCAGATGGTTCAGACATTTTCCCGTTGCATCTTGTGTTCCAAGGATGAAGTAGACTTGGATGAGTTATTAGCTGTGAGGTTGGTGACGTTTCTAATGGACAATTACCAAGAGATTTTGAAAGTCCCTTTGGCCTTGCAGACCTCCATAGAGGAGCGTGTGGCTCATCTACGAAGAGTCCAGGTAAAGAAAGGGATGGTACCAGTCCTTTAAAATTGCCAGCAGAAAGTCATGTAAACTTGCTAGGTTTCTTGGAACCTCTTGTTGGGAAGAAGTCAGTGAATAAATCTGTATAAAGTGCTTCCAACAGGGCTTGCTGCATGGTAAGCTCTATATGTGTTTGGTATTATTGAAAACTTATAGAATGCTTACTTGGTTTGGTTATGTAATCAATGCTGCATACTTCTGATTGCAACTTCCTTAAATGAATTTGTTTAGAATCTGCATATACTTCCTGATGGAAATGATTTATGTGTAATACATGTCTTGATCATAATCGCCCTGTGACCTACATACAATTGATATTTGCATTTTCTCGATCAGTGAGCTAAGGCACGGAGAATTTATGTCACAGAGCCAGGATTCACACAGATAAACTCAATTTCCAGAATCCGTGGTCTCTCATACCACACTGCCTCCAAAAAACGTGGTGTGGTAGAAGAATGGCCTTAGAGCCGTAAAGTCCTGGCTGGGCCAGTTCCTGGTTTTCCCTTTTCCTGGTTTTGTGGCCTTGGGCAAGTCTGTTAACCTCTCTGAATTGTAGTTTCTGCAAGTGTTAAAATGGGCCATACCTGCTCTATAAAATTGTTGGTAAGAGTAGAATACTGTATTGTAAAGCCCCTAGCATAAATGTCTGACTTATAGCAGGTACTCGTTGAAAGGTAGCTTTTACTATTGTTCTGTTAAAATGATGCAGAAGAAATGTAATGCATAACTATTATGTGGGCCCCAAGTGGGGTTTGTAGGTCAGCCTGTGGGAGCAGAAACTTGATAAATGCAAGCAAAAGGTCTGCTTAGCTCCTTTGGAATGATTGGCCCTCTTTCTGCTTAAGCACTTTTTGAGGTTCCACGATTAAGGACCAGTGAGCTGCTACCTCCCAAAGTATTTTCAGGGTGAATAACTGTTCCCCTGTTTCAGTGTGCAATTTAAAAATTAAAATAAAAAATTTTGGGTAATTGTCAACCTAATCTATTGAAAGAATTTGGAAACTATAGAAAATGTACACCAAAAACTCTAAGAGTAACACTACCTGTTCAGTTAGTATTATCGTCTTTCAGATGTTTTTCTGTGTCATGTCTTGTCTTGCCTTGCCTCCCCCCTTCTTCTCCCTTCCCTTCCCTTTCCTTCCCTTCCCTCCCCTCCCCTTTCCTCTCTCTCTCTCATTCTTGCTCTTTTCTTTTATACCTTATTTTCTTTTGATAGTACAACAAGAAATATTTCCCATATCACTAAATATTCTTGACTGACACCAGGGTTGTTGAGAGCTCAGATCCTGGAGCTAAGTGGTACTTGTGTTCTTGATATACCCTTTATTGGCCCTGTGACCTTGGGCACATTTTATAAAATGTCTCTGCTTCAGCCTCTACCTGACATCCCTCTTTTCTTATCTGTAGAGTGGGATCATAATAGTCAATACCTACCTCCTGGGGTTGTTTTAGGGATTGAATGGCTTAAGATGTGTAAAGTGCTTAGAATAATATTTATCACATACTAGGCCCTCAGTTGGTAGCTGCTGTTAATATTATCATCATCATTAGTGTTATGTCATTCCACAGTATTGTTATTATTGATAGTATAGTGTTCGGTAATATGGATATATACCATAATTTATTTAAATGGGTTTCTTTGGTTAGATTGTTTCCATTTCCCCCTCTCTTTTGCAAACAACCTACCAGTAAATATTTTTGTAGCTAGATTTTTTTTTGGGGGGGTCTGGTGGTAATCCTTGATTATTTTCTAAGAATAATTTGTTTTAAGTTTATTTATTTATTTTGAGAGAGAAAGAGAGAGAATCCCAAGCAGGGTCCATGCCATCAGCACAGAGCCTGATGCAAGGCTCCATATCACAACCATGAGATCACAACCTGACCTGAAATCAAGAGTCAGACGTGGGTGTATTTTAAGTATTGATTGCATATTGCCAAATTTCCCTTTAGAATGATTATGCCAATGTATATTCCCATGAATTGTCTAAGAAAGTGTTCATTTCTTTGCACCCTTGTGCTACTTTGGGTGTTATCATTAACACATATACCTTTGCTGTTTTAACGGGTAAAAAGTATAACCTTAGTGCTGTTTTAGTTAAATCTTCCCTCCGCCCAATATTTCTATGACCCTAACCTATAAAAAAGGTAAAGAAGAAATACTTCACTGAATTTCTGCAGGGAGAATTGATAGCAGTAGCTATGTTCCTCTATATGCTTGCTGGGTTTGTGTGTCCCATAGCACAGGCATATGCTGCAGCAGCTTATAACTGAGCCCTTTGCTCTCAGTTGAGGATCAGAAGGCTGAGCTGTGCTGATTCATTTAACTGCACATTATCATGATCTTGAGGAGGGCACTGCTCTGGCACTACATAAAACCAGTAAGCACTCATTTGTCCAATTACATTTTCTCTGTTGGAAGTACTCAGTAGAATTGCTGACCAGTTGTTTCAGTATCAGATTTCTGTTCTCTCATGTGGACTACTCAGCCCCTACAGCATGTGAGATTTAGGGAAGTGCTTCTCTGAAAATGAACAATGTTACTTGGATTGTTCTGGGGAAATTACACAGCTGATCCTGGGATAGATAAATTGTGAGGTAGGTGTTTTTGACACCAACCTTTTATCAGCCTTGACTACAGTCCTCTTCTTCCTTTGCTATCTTTAATCATAGATATCTAGAATTTTCCTTACTAGGCTTCTGGCTGCAGAAGTACAAAAGGTGTTACATTTTTGGGAAGATGGAACACTTTAACTGAGGTCTATCCTGATGGGGCTTTGTCTCTAGACCTACATCATTGGAAACTCCTCATAGAGTATATGTGTGGTTTACTGTATTCACAGAACTATGTGTTTAGATCTGTAGGAAGAACTACAAGACGTCTTTCTGCTAAAACTATGTGAAAGATGTAATAGTCAAATTTTTTAAGTCTTAGGTATTGGCATATCCCAACAATCTCTACAGTTTTAGGGTGGTATAGTTTAGGGGTGATTATGATTTGCACTCATTTACATTTAGAGGTTGTCTGAAATTGAGCACCAGGAAGATCAGATCCACCTACTCTGACCCTAAATGTGTGGGGAATTTTTGAAGTCTGTCCATATTCAAGTGGAGATCAAAGAAGTCCAACTGAAAAGAACTCTGGAGTGACAGTGACAACTGGGGATTGAACCAAAGTGCTTTTCAAAAGGGCTATTTTGAAGATTATGATTCTGATTTTGGAGAAACTGTGGTGATTGGCAGTGCAAAGAATCACATGTAAAATTCTTTAATTAAAAATTTATTGACCTAAGGGGCGTTCAGGAATCTACTCCTGAAATCATTGTTGCACTACATGCTAACTTGGGTGTAAAGTAAAAAAAAAAAAAAAAAAAAAAAAAAAAAAAAAAAAAAAAAAAAAAAAAAAAAAAATCATTGTCTACTAAAGTCTGAGGCCTGTGTTTTGTTAGGCTTGCTTTCTGGAGATTTAGGATTTGATTTTAGTGGACCATGTTTCCAAATTTCTTTGTATGCCTTATGATCTTTTGTTGAAACTTGGGCATTTGATAAAACACCCACATTACCTCTTTGCAGACTGGCTCCATGCAAAGAAAAGTCTTCCCCTTCAGCCTAGCATGAAGGCCTTTATTGGGCATGGGTCTTCCCTGCGTCTGTGGGTGTGCTTTGTTCCCAATCCCCCTGTAAAAAGGTCTGCTTTTTAAATGTATTAATTTCTATAAGAGTTTCACAAGTCCAAATCCTAGACCATTTGACCACCTTCGCATTGACAGACACCACTGTTCTTGTTTTTTAAAAGATTTAATTTTTTTAAAGTAATCTCTATACCTAATGTGAGGCTTGAGCTCACAACCCCGAGATCGAGTCGCGTGCTCCCCCAACTGAACCAGCCAGGTACCCCAATACAATCCCATTGTTATTTATGGTTTGTGGTCATCTTTAGCAGTACAATTCATTCTACCTCTCTCTTTTTGACCACAGATGTCATCCTGGTAATCTTTGGCAAGAAGGCACTGGCAAAACCGTGATGTAAATTTTTGGAATTAAGAATAATGAGAAATTTAATAAAATTTAATAAAAAATAAAATTGGAGGAAAAAATATTTGAACTTGTATGCACATTATGATCCTCAGAATGTATAATGATGACAAAATTACAAGTTGACTTGAAAATCCACAATTGCAATGGGACATTTTAATATATCCTATCAGGAAATGGATAAGATAATATTTGTTAATATTTAACAGTTAATAAAACATTTTAAGGAACATGTACAGAAAAAAAATTATTACCTAAAAAAACACTTTAATTTCTTTCTAATTGAAGTATAATTGCCATAGTGTTACATTAGTTTCAGGTGTATAACATAGCCATTCCATAGTTCTGTACATTACTCAGTGCTCCTCACAATGAGTATGGTAACTATACAACATTGTTACATTATTGACTGTATTCTCTATGTCGTACTTTTCATGTCTGTGACTTATTTATATTTTCTAACTGGAAGTTTTTACCTCTTAATTCCCTTCATCTATTTGCCTATCTCCTCCCATCCCTGTGCCCCTTCTTCTGTATATGAGAGTAAATTTGTTTTTTTTTTTAATTTGTTTGTTTTTTTTATATTCCAGATGTAAGTGAAATCATATGGTGTTTGACTTTCTCTATCTGACTTCACTTAGCAAAATATCTTATAGGTCCATCTATGTTGCCACAAATGGCAAGATATCATTCTTTTTATGGCTGAGTAATGTTCCATGTATATACCACTTTTTTTTTTGAAGTTGCAGTATAGCTAACATACAGTGCTATATTAGTTTCAAGAGTGTAATATAGTGATTCAACAGTTCTGTACATCACCCAGTGTTCATCATGACAAGTGCACTGTTTAATCCCCATAACCTTTTTTACCCATCCCCCACCATCTGTCCTGTGGTAAACATCAGTTTGTTCTCTATAGCTAAGAGTCTGTTTCTTTGTTTGTCTTTCTCTTTATCCCTTTGCTTGCTTGCTTTATTTATTTATTTATTTATTTATTTATTTATTTATTTTTGGTTTGTTTCTTAAATTCCACATATGAGTGAAATTATATGGTAATTTTTTTCTCTAAGTAACTTATTTCTGTTAGCATTATACTCTCTAGCTCTATCCTTAATTGTTGCAAATGGCAAGGTTTTGTTCTTCATGTGTGATAAACGTAGGTGTGTGCATATTTATTTTGAAATTAGTGTTTTCATTCTGTTTGGGTAAACATCCAGAAGAGGAATTACTGGATCATATGGTAGTTCTGTTTTTAATTTTTTGAGGAACTTTCATACTATTTTCCAAAATGGTTGCACCAATTTACATTCCACTAACAGTGCACGAGGGTTCCTTTTCTCCACATCCTTGCCAGCAGTTGTTATTTCCTGTCTTTTTGATTCTAGCCATTGTGACTGGTATGAGGTGGTATCTAATTGTGGTTTTGATTTCTGTTTCCTGGATGATTAGTGATGTTGAGCATCTTTGCATGTTTCTATTGGCCATCTGTACGTCTTTGGAAAAATGTCTTTTCCGGTCTTCTGCCCATTTTTAAATCAGATTATTTGTTTTTTTGATGTTGAGTTATATAAGTTCTATATTTTGGATAGTATAACCTTATTGGATATATCATATGCAGATACTTTCTCCCATTCACTGTGTTGTCTTTTTGTTTTGTTGAGGGGTTTTTTGGTTTTGTTTGGTTTGGTTTGTTTTGATTTGGTTTGTTTGTTTGCTATACAAAATCTCTTTATTTTAGTGTAGTCCCAGGAGCTTATTTTTACTTTTGTTTGCCTTGCCTGAGGAGACATATCCATAAATATGTTGTTTAGGGTAATGTCCAAGAGATTATAGCCTATGTTTTCTTTTGGGAGTTTTAAGATTTTGGGTCTCAACTGACTAAGCTACCCAGGTGCCCCGGACCATTGTGTTTTCATTTTCATTTGTCTTCATGTATTTTTTTTTTTAATTTCTTCTTTGATTTCTTCATTGATCCATTGATTATTTAGTTGCACATGTTTTTGTTTATTTCAGGTTTTTTGTTTTTTTGTTTGCTTTTGATAACTGATTTCTACTTTTACACTGTTGTGATTGGAAAAGATGCTTGATATGATTTCAGTCTTCTTAAATTTACTGAGTCTTGTTTTGTGGCCTAAGATGTGATCTATGCTGGAGAGTGTTCCATGTACATTTGAAAAGAATGTGTATTCTGCTGTATTTGAATGAAATATTCTGTATATATTTATTACATCCATCTAACCTTGTTGATTTTCTGTCTGGATGACTTCTCCATTGATGTAAGTGGAGTGTTAAAATCTCCTATTATGATTGTATTACTGTCAGTTTCTCCCTTTATACCTGTTGATATTTGCTTTATGTAAATTAAATATATTTATTTTTAAAGTTTTTACGTACTTATTTGTGAGAGAGAGAGAGAGAGAACGAGCAGGGAGGGGCAGAGAGAGAGGGGGACAGAGAATCTGAAGCAGGCTCTGTGCTGACAGCATAGAGCCTGATGTGGGGCTAGAACTCACAAACCATGGGATCATGACCTGAGCAAGGTCCAATGCTTATTCAACTGGGCCACCCAAATGCCCCTGAAATTAAATATTTTTAATGGATGCTCGTTTATTTATAGGTCTTGGTATTATGTTTCCTCTTTTTTCTTCCTTCTCCCTTTTGCCCTATCCAATGTCTAAATATTTATTTTCTTGATTTTCAGTGTTAACATATTTGGAGATGGTTGTAGAACTTCTCTCTACATAACAGCCAAGCTATATGTGTTTCTCTGTCCATCCCCAAGAAAGAGAGGATCAGATTCTCCAGATGTGGGAAGGGATCCACAAAGTGTGGTCAATATTATAATTGTTTTGAATCATTTTTGTCAACATGTTTAGTTTATGTTTCAACTTAAGATTTTATTTAAAAGAACACGCAGGTTTTTTATTTATTAAAATGGATCTTGGGTTTAAAAAGGTAAACATCTCTTACTTAAAACTGTGACTGTGGTATTTTTTTTGAAGTTATAGAAACACTGTTACCTTTTACCAAAGAGTTTTCCCCAAATTGAAGAATGATGTGGTACCCTTAGTAGGAGATAAGCTGTATTTGATCTGAACTAATTTTTGCAGTTTATGTGAAAATATACTTATTCCATTCACTATTAATCCTTTTGCCTTAGATAAAATACCCAGGAGCTGATATGGATATCACTCTATCTGCTCCCTCATTTTGCCGTCAGATCAGTCCAGGGGAGTTTGAATACCAGAGAGCATACGGCTCTCAGGAACCTCTGGCAGCCTTGCTGGAAGAAGTCATAACAGATGCCAAACTCTCCAGCAAAGAGAAGAAGAAAAAACTGAAGCAGGTAAAAGAAGAATATTCTTTAGAAGTCATTTCTTCTTCTGCCTGCTGTTCTTATATTTTTTCTTTTTATTCTCTGTTTTACTAAGTTTCATATAAATCTCATCTTCTATGACATAGCAGTTTTGAAAGTATATTACTCAATTTATACATTCCGGCAGTCTCATTGTTTTACACAATTGTGGTCTGTTTTCCACGTCTTTATTTTCCCGTGTAGGTATTTTACCATTGTTGAACTCTTCATTTGTGGAGCTCTTCTCTATTATTTGTCCTTTGTTTTGGTATGTGGCTTGATGTGTTAGTGGAGTAATTACTTTAAATTCAGAGAAACTATCAAATGAGGACAGGTTCCTTTTGATTTTTTTTTTTTGAAAGGCAAATTATACTGAATTTGCAAATAGAAAATGTGTAAAACTGGAAAGGCTTTGGTTTTAGATCACCAGTATCACATTGTTTTTTTGCCTCGGGCAGCGCTAAAAGTTTTTAGTTCCTGCTAGGAACAAGGTTTAGGGTTTCATTGAATAGTGTTTAACTCACACTAGATTTACTTCAACCATTCTTAAAGTATTGATTCCAGATTAAGTGAATTGTTTTTATTTTTGAAGTCTGACTCCTGCAAGCTTGATCCCTGATCACATCATGCATATAGGATTATACACAGATTACCAGAGTTCTAGACTCCCAATCGTATTTTTCTCAGTAATTTTGGAGAAGAGTTCAGTGTTGAGGATGAAGGAAAAGCATATTGCCTCTCTTTAAGCTTTTCATAAAGTCATATATACTGGAATGTTTTCCCTTCCATTTGAGCAGAAGCAGGTGGGACTGAGTTGGAGAAGCTGGGAGATCGTGAAATGTAGTTGGGCCAAAATTTTCTTTAACTGTGTAGAACATAAGTTATTTTCAAGTCAGGATTACTTGTGAATATTTTTAAAGTGAAGTCTATTTATAGTTAGCAGTGGGGGAAATTTTAAGAAATAAGACCAAAATGAGAAGTGTATTTGAAGCTTTGATCAAATTTAAATTGAATTAGATCTATAGCAAGTGGAATCAAATGATCTTACCAAAAGAAATGGATTTGTGTTGGAGTGAATTTGATTACGATTAGTTGTCTTGTTATTCTCTTTTCTGATAGAGAACAATAAACATTGAAACAAAACAAAAACAGCTTGTATGGAATCAGATCAGAAAGTCTTTAATTTTAAAATTAGATCGCCTAATTTTATTGGCCCTTATGTGGGTTTTTTTTTTGACTCATCTTGAATCTTTTTTTTATTTTTTAGTTTCAAAAATCCTATCCTGAAGTCTACCAAGAACGATTTCCTACACCAGAAAGTGAAGCACTTCTGTTTCCTGAAAAACCGAAACCGAAACCACAGCTCCTGATGTGGGCACTAAAAAACCCTTTCCAACCATTTCAAAGAACTAGAAGTTTTCGGATGTAGTACTTAACATTGCTCTTAGAGATCTCTGTTGCTGTTGCCTCGAGCAAATTGGTGGTTATAGGAGGATTATGGTGATGGAAGAAAGAAGAGCAGAAAAGAGAGGCTACAGAAAATATAAAGTTACCGGACTTCCTAATGTTGAGCCATTATCAGTATTTTTGTAAAACCCAATGCTATTTTTAAAGTGTACAAATCAGTTGAAAGTTGAGACAAACGTATAGTGGTATGGTTAATATGCGTGTCTGTAATTGTTACAAAATTTGTGGGTAGTTTTATTTTTTTATTTGTTATCTTTCATGGTGTTAATAAAATAATTGTACATTTCAGTTACTGATGTCTTTGTTATAACCAAGTTTTAAAAATAGTGTATGTACTTGAATAAGAGAGACACTGGGTACTGCTACTGTGATGCTCTTGACTTCACAGCTTAATAGTTGTGACTTCTCTTTGTGTAAAATTTGGTTTTCATTGTGGTACAGAGAGTCTTAAGGCTCCACATTATGATGACTTTGTCTTTTACTGCAGATTTGTTGGATGTTATGACAGCTTTAACTAAAGCTGGTTCTTTTAGAACATGTATTAACTGGTGTTCACCTATATGTGGGGTTGATTTTCATTTGCCTGCAGTGGTATAATTTCAGTCTTGGCTGGAGATGGAAAATTGAACTGAGTAATCTTTTTGGGTCCCCTTGTTCCTGTGATTGTGAGTCAGGTCTTTGTTGTTTCGTGAAAAGCACAAATAGGTTAAGTAAAACAAGACTACTTCCTTTGTATTTCTCCCACCTTCCTCGTCCTTTGGAAAGTAAATGGAATGTAAATAAATACTGGTTTTTGTTTTTTTATGCTCTGTGGTGTTTATTTTTTGGTATTTAGTTCAGTTAGAAAACATCTTCAGATGCTGAAGTTCATCGTCTTGGCCAGTGTCCTCACATCATTCATTTATTTCTATGATAAAATGAGTGATGTAGGGCTTTTTATGAGCCTTCAGGAGCCTTTGTCCATTGTGGCTAAGTGATAGGATATCTGTTGAGATTAGAGTACATAAAGACCCAGTTTACTTTGCCCTTTTGCAAATAATGGTACACTTAGAGTATGGAGCATCTGGAAGCCTTCTTCTGTAAGTAATTACCCTAAATTTTAAGAGTAACAGTCACTAGTTGGCTTTGGACTGAATTTCCTTGCCTTTGCTCTGGCCCTGTTCGTTTGTTGCAGAATGCTTCCTACATGTGACTCAGATTTTGTTTACTTACAAGTGGATAAAAGTATTCCTCTTGGTTTGGATACCACCTTTTCCTCCGAATAGGTAAAGGAATGGGAGATTTTTAGTATTTCAGGATTTGTTTTCAGATCTTAGAATGATGTTTAGAGCAAAGAATAAGTCTACTTCTGCTTTCTTTGCGCTCTGGTAAACCTTCCCATTGACAGTGTCTAAGAGTTCTTTTTGCTTAATGTCCTCACCAAAACTTGCTATTGTCAGAGTTTGAATTGTTGTCAATGTGGTGGGTGTATAATGGTATCTCATTATGGTTTTACTTTGTGTTATGGGTATGGTTTAGCCAAAGACTTCTACTATATATGTTTTTTTACTTTTTCCATTTTTATTCAGATTTTAGTATCAGCCTGTCAAGCTTTACACATGTGTGCACACACACACCTCTGAGATTTTGATTTGGATTGTATTGAATTTATAAATCAATTTGGAGATAATTGCTATATTTACAATATTAAGTCTTCCAGTGGATGAACATAGTTTATCTTTCCATTTATTTAGAACAAATGAGAAAAAAAAAAATCTCTGCAAAGGTTTGCAAATCGTTTATTAGATGTGTTCCTAGGTATTTGATTCTTTTAAAAAATATGTTAGTATCAAAAATTTCAAGTATACGGAAAAGTAAATAGTATCCATCCCTAACTTCACTAGTTATTATTTAACTGAAAAATACCTCTTGTTTGATCCTATTGGGAAGGGGGTTATTTTTAAAATTTCCACTTTCAGCTTCTTGCTTATATATACTATAAAACTGATTTTTGTGTACTGATATTTGTATCCAAACTCCCTGCTAGGCTTTCCTGTTTTTTTTAATGTTTATTTATTTTTGAGAGAGAGAGGAAGGCATAGAGAGAGAGGGAGACACAAAATCTGAAGCAGGTTCCAGGCTCTGAGCTGTCAGCACAGAGCCTGATGTGAGGCTTGAACTCAAGAAACGTGAGATCACGATTTGAGCTGAAGTTGGACTCAACTGACTGAGCCACCCAGGTGCCCCTAGTCTTTCCTATTAATTCTAAACATCTAGTGTGATTTTTTTTTTTATTTCCTACATATTCACTACATAATAAGCAAACAATGACAGTTTTTGTTTTTCATTTCTGCAGTCTATGGCATTTAAAATGTCCCCAGTGACCCCTGCCTGTTGGTATTTGTGTAATCTTTCCTTGAATGTTAAGTTGGGTGTAGTGACACATTTGTAACAAATAGAATATGACAAAAGTGATAGGATATCTCTTGAGATTAGAGTACATAAAGACCCAGTTTCCGTCTTGCTTGCCCTCCCTCTCTCTTTCCCAGGCCTGCTCTGAGGGGAAAGCCAGCTGACCTGCGTGAACTGCTCTATGGAGAGGCCCCTCAGGCCAGGAACTCCTGTCTGTGCCTTCTAGTGAGCGAGGACGTGCGGCCTGCCAACAGCTGTGTGAGCAATCTTGGAAGTGGCTGTTCTGAAACCTGCCAGCAGTCACGTGAGTGAGCCTGCAAGCACACTCTCTCTTAAACCTTGAGGTGAAGGCAGCCTTAGCTGACGCTTTGACTGAAGCCTGAGGTCCTGAGCCAGAGGACTCAGCTTCATTGTGCCTGGATTCCAGACCCACAGAAACTGTGAGATAATAAATATTTGGGTTTTCCAGTCACTTAATCTGGGGGTAATTTGTTATGAAGTGATAGATACAATACACCTGCCAATTCGTTTTCCCTCCTTTTCTCCCTCCCTCCCTCCGTCCCTCCTTTCTTCCTTCCCTCCTTCATTTTTTAGAATTATTATAAACTGTCACTCTTTATCTTTAGCAATGTACTTGTTTGCAGTCTTTCCATATTATATTTTAGTTGTGTCCCTTGATGCCAACTTGACAATTTTTGTTTCTAGTCAAAATTTTGTAACAAATTATATTTAATAAAATTCTATATTTGGGTATAAACATTTATTGATGTTTTATGCCTCTTTGTCTCTACTTTCTTGACTTTTTTTGAATCTTACACCTAATTTCATGTTTTCTTCTAATTTGAAACTCAATATTCTGTTTCTAATTTTCTTATTGGGTCCCTGGAAATTACATTTTACATACTAATTTATCAAAGTTTAAAGTCAGTAAATACCTTTTACCCTCCACGGAGGCTGTTCAGGGACCTTAAAGCACTAACAACACCCTCCCAAATGAGGTATTATTCTTCTGATATATCTTAACTTTATAATTTTTAAACCTCATACTATATTGTTTTTATATATAGTATTTGTTTATTAGACTTACCCATGTTTTACCACATTTCTCCTTAGAGTACATTCTTCAGAACTTAGTATTTGCTGGTTTTTGTCTTTTTCATTTTGCCCTCATTCCTTTTTTAAATAAATAACTTTATTGAGATGTAATTCACATGTCATGTAATTAACCCTTTTAAAGTGTATAATTCAGTGGGTTTTAGTATTTTACATTTTATGTTTTTCTTATATCAAAACTTGCCATTTTAATCATTTTTAAGCATACAATTCTGTATAAAGAATGCCTTCATTCTTTACAAATATTTCTGCTGCTTATAGAATTCTAGGTTGAAGGTTTTTGTATCTCAGTACGTTTTAGTCATTCATTTGTTAGCTGGCTTCCATTGTTACTGATGAGAAGTCTGTTGACACTCTTTATAGATAGTGTGTCATGTTTTGGCAGCTGCTGTTTATAATTTTCTCTTTATCTTTGGTGGTCTGCAGTTTACAATGACGTTTCTGGTTTTTATAATGTACTCTTTCAGTGATTATTCTGATTGGTTATTTGTGGGGCTTCTTAAATAAGAGGATCAAGGTCTTTTACTCTTAAATATTCCCTTTCTCACAATCTCTCCTCTGCTTTTGATTCTTTAAACATATTTTAGATCTTTTCATACTATTCTCTGTTTCTTAATCTCTCATGTACCTTCCATATTTTTGCCTTTCTGTGCTGCATTCTGGATAATTTCTTTACTCTTTCTTCCATGCCAGCACATTTCTCTTCAGGTATGTTTAGTCTACTATTAAATTCTTGGATTTGCTACTTTCGAATTTATATCCAGTTTACAGCTCAGGAAACAAGACTCAGTAAGGTTGGGTAACTGCCCTAAGATCACCCATCTTGTGAACAGCATAGTAAGTGGTCATGACCAGCTATGACTGCATTGTCCAGGCTCCTGACTCCGATGTCTTATTGTCTCCCATTGAGCATTGTTTCATGGTTTTTATGAGCACCGTTTGATATTTGTGTATAAGCTCAGACGTTATTTTTTTGGCCTATGCTTTGTAAAACTTAAGAACTCAAATTTCTTTTTTATTGGCAGTGTTTTCAGTGGCCTAACCTACCTTGCCAAATTCATTTCCACTCTTTTTCTGGTCACTTTCTATGAATATCTACTAAAGATTTTTCACTGAATTTCCTACATATCCCTATAAAAAAAATTGCAACAGTGATGAAACTAGAGTCTTTTGTAGAAGCTCTCTGGTGCAGTCATGTATCGGCTTTGTAGGTATGCCTTTTAAGGTATTGTGATAGGCAGGATGAGTAGAAAATGTCATAGGGATTATCATTGATCTGAGAGACTGCCATCAGGAATTTATCAAACGAGTGTTCCATACAGAAAATTTGGGGGTTCTAAGGCACATTTCAAGATTGAGTATATCCCATGTAATGGAATTCAGCCATTCTTCATTCTCATTTCTCATACATCATTGTGTTCCTGCATCTACCTTCAGGGAAGTCATATTTGGGCTCTA